CCCACCATGGTTCCTGCGCTGGAACCCCACTCAAGAGGCGATTCCAGAGAAGCCTCTAGTCCGGACCATCAGTTAGGTGGTTGCTATGAAGTCATAGAACAAACCAAAACATCATAGGTCCAGCACAGGAGACCGTAATGCAGGAAGTTCTTACCTAACCTCAGTCAGGTGGAGTCCTGGTGATTATAGGGGAATTAGGAAGTGAAAGAAAAGGGCAGATGTAAAAAGAAGGAAATGAGTAGATACTCAAGTATCACTCTGATCTGGACGAAAGTGCTGATGCCTTGTCTGGATCACATCCCTTAGGTCTTGCCTACCTCTCTTTGTCCCGCGATTCCTCCTACCCCTACCCGGGGGCGAAGGAGGAGCGCGAGTCGCGACACTAGCCTTCTGTGCCCGTCTCTGATCCTCAGACAGAGACGGACCAGGACCCCTATGTTGTTCGGGCTAAGACCTGGACCTTCATGGAATGAAGGATTTAAAGGCCGCTGAATGCGCCTTCGCCTCCCTGAACTTCTCGACCACCGTCTCAACCGAAAAGTTTGTAAGGCAAAACCGGAGCATCGAGAAGAAAGCCCCTCTCTTTCTTCCCGATATCTGCCAGGTTTAACCAACAGATGTCTCTCCATTACTACCATAACCGACATAAAGGTGCATCTCAATAAATTAGAATGTCGTGGAAAAGTTCATTGCCCATAGCGGAGGCGGCCTGCTTAGTAGCACGATCTGTGGTGAGAGCAAGATCTGTGGTGCGGCGCAGCTCAGCTACCTGATCAGGAGGAAGGCCCTCGCCTTTATGGCCTGACTGGTTCAGGAAGCGGTTCGAATCTTGTAAATTCACAGTCCTCTGTCCTGTTAAACCCAACCAATTTCCAGTTTTAGACTAATAATATTTCCCCATCCTGCATATTATGAGCAAAGACTTGATTTTCACACATTTGATAGCCCCATTCATTTCAAGGCAATATGTATATTACACAGTTATGTTATATTATGTTATACAGTCATTATAAAATACACATTATATTCATACAAATAGATTAGTGTATGTGGAATTTTTTTTTTTTCTCTTCACCATTATTTCTAAGCCTTAACTGGCACAAAACAGTGTATCACATCAGGTCATCTGTAATGTATCTGCTTGTTTTTCACTTTTTGGCCACCAGGTGGTGTTGTAAGCAAATTAAGCCTTGAGAAATGAACCCTTTTGTGAACCACTTGGATGAAAAGCTTCAATGTTTCATAAGGCTTCATCTTGCCATCACTATCTGTAACATAGCTTTTTTGTCATTTATTTTCACAAAACAACAATCCATAAAACCAGTTGAATCAAAGCTTCACCGCTAAACATTAGCACATATAGCCACATGAACACATGGTCTGAAAATTGTGTCCGCTTCCGCTTACTGGCTCCACCTATTTCCTCACCTGCACTAAATACATAATCGCAATAATATAATAAGATTCTCGATTCAAAATTCATAACATTCAATGCAAATACTCAAACTCAATTATATTCAAATTAGGAAATCAGTCCATTCAGTCCAAAATCTGAAAATAGAAAAAGAAATGGCTCCAACAGTATGATTACAGAAAACAAAATTATTGTTATTGAACGTCAATGGAACAACACATTTTATTGATTTATTTATTTATTCATTCATTCATTTATTTTTGACAATAAATTATGAAAGTGGTTTGTTGTGTTTAAAAAATATATAAATGTACGAGGTGGTGAGGAGCAAAAGGTTTATTCATATTTATTCAAATACTTTAGCTAGTAATATGTTTTACATAATATAAAAGTTAACACTTGTTCAAAACAAATTTGTACTGTTATCTGTTTATTTTAATAATTAAAATAATTTGTTTGTTCTTCAATAAATACACTGTTCATTTTAAAAGTAAAGAACAAATATTTAAAAATTAAAGATAATGAATGTTTTTAGTAGCAACAATAAATATGATATTATATGATTTGATCGATATATTTTTAAATATTATCTCTAAGGTGGACATACAACTTCAGATTGGAAGATATTAGAATGTCTTTGAATATCTATATAGATATAGCATATAGAATATCTATGTTAGAATCTAAATCTAACCATATCACGTAGAGCCATTGTCAATTATTGTGTCATGTGTACCAGTGATTTTTACCCAAAATTTTGGCTATTGAAAAACTGTTGATTTGATTACCTTAAACAAAACTGAAAAAAAAAACTTTAAAAGATCTTTGCCTCATATTATTTTTAGTAATTTTATCAATTATCATTCGCTAAAAAAATATGTTTAAAAATAAACAACAACATCAACAACAAAAAACTACATATTACGTCAAACTGGCATAGAATCAGCTTTCTTCATTTCTTCTTGCCACACACAGGAGCCACATTTCCGCAGATGTTTAGGAAAATGCCTCTGTGAGTTTTTGTGTCATCTAGTCAGGTAGAGGAGAATAAATTCAAAAGCACTTTTAACCCTGATTATCTATATCTGTGTATATTTAGATAAATTATGTAGTTATGTCCAAGAAACATCAGGCTTATTTGATTTTATCTTGTATGTTTCAGTGAGAGATCTGAGGATTGCTCTTCTGGGAAAGAATGTGTCAGAAAACAACAGAGTGGCAAACTTAATCTTGGGGACAAATGTGTTTGAGACACTTCCAGAACTTCCAGTGGAGAGAAAGTTTCAGCAGCACAGCCAGAGAGTCGGAGGAGGACTAAAGAACAGACGCGTGATGGTCATCAACAGTCCTCAGCTTCTCCAGCCTCACCTGTCACTCCATCAGATCACACAGGCAGTGAGAGAGTGTGTGAATCTGTCTGCTCCAGGACCTCATGTGTTCATACTCATACTGCAGCATAATGACTTCACTGAGGAGGATGGATACAGAGTGAAAAGTGTACTGAAAGAATTCAGTGAAGAGGTGATTAAACGCACTATAGTGATCACGACTGATGAAAAGACATACATATCAAAGATTAGTTCTATGATCAAGAATAATGCAATCCATCAGTTAATAAAGGAGTGTGGAGGAGGACATCTGCAGTTTGATGAAAGAAAACCAGAATGGCTCTCAGAGATATTCAGTAGAGTTGATACGATGCTCAAGGGAAACCAGGAAGAGTATCTCACATGTGAGCTATATAAAGATGGTATAGGGACATCAGTGGATGAAGAGCAGATCAGATCTAATGATTCAGTCAGATCAGAGGAAGAAATCAAGAAGAGTTCTCACCACAAAGATGATGGAAAACCCAAAGAGAGACAGAAATGGGAAAGTGATGAAGGTAGGGGTTTTTTTTCGAAAATATTTTCTAATGTTGAGCTTCTAAGGGTATGAACATGAACTACAATTTTTTACCATATACTAGTACTTACAGTTTTAGTTTAGTTTTATTTTGCTACAATATATTTGGTAGGCATTGTATGAGCGAGTGTCCTATGTGTTTGTAAAGTATCTTCTAGCATCAAGGTGTAACTGATGTTATAGAGGTATCTGTCTTGTTTGGAGTCTTTATTCTGTTGCTAACTTTTCAACCTGTTGATTGTGTCCGGGAAAGTAGGTTTAAACCAGTGCTTCATTTGTAAATAAATCCCTCGTTGCTGAGAAATATAATGTAGTGATTCAATAGCAAAGCTATTTTATTAATAAAAGTTGCGCGGCAACTTTAAGTGCTTCTGAATATTTCTCTGTGCACAGCGAGATCGTGCGGCTGTGTGCATGTGTTTCAGTGCGAATCAGGGCGATTTGAACGCACACTTTCCAGCCAATCAGAGTATTCAGACAAACCATGGTATGAATCAGCATGCACCCATGCTTACTGTCTCACACTCACACACACACTGTCACCATGTTAATCCCAAATCTGACATTTCCCGGCAGGATCTGGCTCAAATTAAGCACTGGTTTAAACCCTTAGTCTAATTATTGGAATTCAAACTCAGAACTTAAAATAACCATGTCATGACAAGTAGGTAAATAGGATATAAGAATTAACTGAGAAACAGGGAACAGTGTTGACACTTTGGATCAACCAAGAAAAACAGAAAAAAAGCAATATATTGCAACAAAGTATTAAAAAAGTTCTGCAGACATAACACATAGACACAAGGACAAAGACCCCAACAATTACACTTTTTTTTTTTTTTTACAATTATTATTTTAAAGACACAAACAGTAAATCAGTGTAAAATAATGGGTAACGTTTTACAATAAGGTTTCATTAGTTAACATTACTTAGCTACTTTATTTAACATGAACTAAGAATGAACAATACTTGTACAGCATTTTTAAATCTTAATTAATATTAATTTCAACATTTACTAATGCATTAATAAAATCAAAAGTTGTGCTTGTTAACATTAGTTAATGCACTGTGAAGTAACATGAACTAACAGTGAACAATTGAATTTGAATTAACTAACGTTAACAAATATTAATAAATACTGCAGTACATGTATTGGTCATTGTTTGTTCATGTTGGTTAATACATTAACTAATGTTAACAAATGACACCTTATTGTAAAGTGTTGCCAAATAATGAATGAATGGTACGGCATGAGTGTAAACATTCTATTCTAATGACTCTTAAAATGTTTTTCAGTGTCAGCAGATGTCTTTGGAAAACAGAAACTGAACCTGGTGCTGTGTGGAAGTGATGGGTCACTAATGGTCTCTGTGTCCCAAATTTTACAAGGAAAACATATCAGTCCTTCATACCAGAAAGCAAGTAATGAAGTGTGTGTGATGGAGGAGGAGCTTCATATTCGTCTGATCAATCTGATCAGTCTTCCAGCTCTCAATCAGCTCTCAGAGGAGGAAGTGATGCGTCAGACTCTACACTGTGTGTCTCTCTGTCATCCTGGAGTTCATGCTTTCCTCCTCATTATTCCTGTTGGTCCACTTACTGATGAAGACAAAGCAGAAATAGAGAAGATCCAGAGGATATTTGACTCCAGAGAGCACTTCATACTGCTCTTCACAACAGAGCTCACTGTTGAAGGAATTGCAGCAGAGTTTGTCAAATCCAGCCCAGAAACTCAGAGGTTAATCAGTCTCTGTGGAGGTCAGTACAGAGTGATGGGGTTAAAGGAACCTGAAAACTCCAGACAGATCCCAGAACTACTGGAATATGTAGAGAACATGAAGACTGAACCATATTCACTTCAGATGTATGTGAAAGCTCAAGAGAACAGAGCCAGACGTGAACTGGAAGAACAACACAAGAAAGAACTGAGTGAAATGGAGAGCAGAATCAAAAAGTTAGAGCAGAAGATTCAGTCAGAGAGTGAGTTGATTTATTTATTTATTTTTGGTACTGAGCATCTTCAAAATAATATAGTAATTACTCTCATTTATTAAGTACAAGTAAATATCTCACAAATGTTTGCACATTTTCAAAAGTGTAACTTGTATGTTCAAACAAGATGTTTAGTTTTACTTCATTATCACTGGTTCAACAGTGCACAATATAATTAAAATAGAGCAATAAATGAGTTCCACCTTAGCCTCGATTGACAGTGTTTGGTTGTGGTTTACATATCAGACTGATTTTAACATCTATAGTTAAAAACAAATAATGCAACCTCCATGGTGATCCTGAACCTTACTTAAGCACACCAGTAGAAGGTCAATAATGACTTTTTTTTAAAAGGAGAACATCCATCTGCTTTCATTGCTAATGTTGACAAACCATTTGAACATAACTGAATTCTGGGACGTTAAAAGCTAAAAGTGAAAATCCAAAATCAAAGAAAATGAGTCACATTGCTCAATGTTTGATTTTTTAAATACGATTTTATACGATTTTAATAAAAAAATAAAAACTGCATGATTAACACGTGATTTTTTTTATATGATTTTCAGGTGCTGAATGTGAAGATGATGTGCAGTGTTTGAGGATCGTGCTGATCGGGAGGACAGGAAATGGAAAGAGTGCAACAGGAAACACTATTATGGGAAGAAATGAGTTTGTGAGTAAAGCAAAATCAGATTCAGTGACGACTGACTGTAAGAAGGGAGTTGGTGAAGTTGATGGTCGATCGGTAGCTGTTATTGATACTCCAGGACTCTTTGACACATCACTGTCAAATGAACAGGTAGCAGAAGAAATAATGAAATGTGTCTCACTGTCGTCACCTGGACCTCATGTGTTTGTCATTGTGTTGAGTTTGACAAGATTCACCAAAGAAGAAACAGACACTGTAGATCTGATAAAGAAGATCTTTGGTCCAAAAGCTGCTCAGTTCAGCATCGTTCTGTTCACTAGAGGAGACGATCTTGAGGGTGAATCTGTAGAGGATTATGTGAGGGAAAGTAATTCTGCAGAACTGAAGAAACTGATCAGAGATTGTGGAGACAGATACCTGGTTTTCAATAACAGAGAAAAACAAGACAGAACTCAAGTGATTCAACTGTTAAACATGATAGAAGAGGTGAAGAACACTAATGAGGGTCGATACTTCACTAACAGCATGTTTGAGGAGGCAGACATGTCCATTAAGAAGAGAATGGAGGAAATAATGAAAGAGAGAGAGAGCGAAATACAGGCTCAAAATGAGAAACTGAGAGTCAAATATGAGACAGAAATGGAAGAGCTCAAGAAAAGACTGGAAGAAGAGAAAATAAAAGCAGATGAGGAAAGAAAACAAAGAGAGAATGAGTTCAGACAAAAAGAGGGAAAAATTATGAAAGAATTCGAAGAAAAACACAAAACAGAACAACAGAAACGAGAGACTGAAAACCAGAAACAATCAGAAGAGGAAAAACAGCAAAAAGCTGAATATGATGGAAAAATAGAAGAAATGAAGAGAGAGATTGAAAATCAGAGATCACAGTATGAAAAACAGCAAAAAGAAAGAGAAGAAGAAGATAGAAAGAGAGAAGAGAAATACAGACAAGATCAAGGAAAGATGAAACATGAACAAGAACACATTATAGCAGAATTACTGATGAAAGAAGAAGAAGAAATAAAAAAGAGAGAATCTGAGCAGAAACAGAGGAATGAAGAAGAAGAGGAGGAGAGAGAGAGATTTGAGAGAAAAGTAAAAGAAGCTGAAAATGAAAGAAAAGAAATTCAAGAGGAAATTAAACGACAGCAGAGAGAATGGGAGGATGAAAAGAAACGACAGACAAAAGAACGAGAGGAAGAGCAAAGAAAGAGAAAAGAGACGCACAAGAAAGAGCTGAGAAAAAAACAAAAAGAACTGGAGAAAATGAGAAAGAAATTTGAAAGAGAGATAGAAGAAGAACGACAGAAGATAGAGAAAGAGAGACAGAAACAGAGAAGAGAAAGAGAAGAAAAAGAGAGAGAATATGATGAAAAGAGACAGGAAACAAAAAGACATTACGAACAGCTGGAGCATGAGAGAAAAGAGGAGTGGGAGAGAAGAAAAAGAGAAGATGATGAGAGACGAGAAGAAGAGAGAAAGAGATGGAAGAAAAGGATTGAAGACCTGAAACAAAAGCAAGAAGAAGAGATCAAGAGAAGAGAAAAAGAGGAGAATGAGAGAAAAGAAAGAGAAGAGAAAGAGAGAAATGAAATGAAAAAGGAATATGAAGAGGAAATTAAAGAGATGAAGAAGAAACATGAAGGTGAAGCCAGAAAACAAGCAGAAGAACTGAATGATTTCAAAGAAGGAAAAGAGCAGCTCCAACAGAAGCTGGAAGAACATCAGAATGAATATGAATCACTCAAAATATTCCATCAACACCTGAAAGACCAGAAAGAAAAGGAAATAAGAGAGTTACAAGAACTTGTTAAACAAGTCTGTCAAAGTCTGCAAGACCAGAAAGAAAAAGAAATAAATGAGCTAAAAAAACAAGCTGAAGCACTCAATAACCTTCTGAAAGACCAGAAAGGACAAAAAATAGGAGCACTTCAAGAAGACGTTAAACAATTCTGTCAAAGCCTGCAAGATCAAAAAGGAGACAAAATGAAGGAGTTGCAACAAGAAGCTGAAAAACTCTGTCAAACCCTGCAAGACAAGAAAGATAAACATTTAAATATGCTCCAAAAAGAAGCTGAAGAGAGAAATAATAAATCAAAGAAAAGATGGTGTTCCCTTATGTGATTTTCACAGCACACACACACACACACACACACACATATATATATATATATATATATATATATATATATATATATATATAT